TCAGCATCAGCGCATCAGCATCAGCATCAGCATCAGCGCATCATCATCATCATCAGCATCAGCATCAGCATCAGCATCAGCGCATCAGCATCAGCATCAGCATCAGCATCAGCATCAGCATCAGCATCAGCATCAGCGCATCAGCATCAGCATCAGCATCAGCGCATCAGCATCAGCATCAGCATCAGCATCAGCATCAGCGCATCAGCATCAGCATCAGCATCAGCATCAGCGCATCAGCATCAGCATCAGCATCAGCTTCAGCATCAGCATCAGCATCAGCATCAGCATCAGCATCAGCGCATCAGCATCAGCATCAGCATCAGCGCATCAGCATCAGCATCAGCATCAGCGCATCAGCATCAGCATCAGCATCAGCATCAGCATCAGCGCATCAGCATCAGCATCAGCATCAGCATCAGCGCATCAGCGCATCAGCATCAGCATCAGCATCAGCATCAGCGCATCAGCATCAGCATCAGCATCAGCATCAGCGCATCAGCATCAGCATCAGCATCAGCATCAGCATCAGCGCATCAGCATCAGCATCAGCATCAGCATCAGCTTCAGCATCAGCATCAGCATCAGCATCAGCATCAGCATCAGCGCATCAGCATCAGCATCAGCATCAGCATCAGCGCATCAGCATCAGCATCAGCGCATCAGCATCAGCATCAGCATCAGCATCAGCGCATCAGCATCAGCATCAGCATCAGCGCATAGCATCAGCATCAGCATCAGCATCAGCGCATCAGCATCAGCATCAGCATCAGCGCATCAGCATCAGCATCAGCATCAGCATCAGCGCATCAGCATCAGCATCAGCATCAGCATCAGCATCAGCGCATCAGCATCAGCATCAGCATCAGCGCATCAGCATCAGCATCAGCATCAGCGCATCAGCATCAGCATCAGCATCAGCATCAGCATCAGCGCATCAGCATCAGCATCAGCGCATCAGCATCAGCATCAGCATCAGCATCAGCATCAGCGCATCAGCATCAGCATCAGCATCAGCATCAGCATCAGCATCAGCATCAGCATCAGCATCAGCGCATCAGCATCAGCATCAGCATCAGCATCAGCATCAGATTCAGCATCAGCATCAGCATCAGCATCAGCATCAGCGCATCAGCATCACCATCAGCATCAGCATCAGCATCAGCATCAGCATCAGCTTCAGCATCAGCATCAGCATCAGCATCAGCATCAGCATCAGCGCATCAGCATCAGCATCAGCATCAGCATCAGCATCAGCTTCAGCATCAGCATCAGCATCAGCATCAGCGCATCAGCATCAGCATCAGCATCAGCATCAGCATCAGCATCAGCTTCAGCATCAGCATCAGCATCAGCAACAGCATCAGCATCAGCATCAGCATCAGCATCAGCATCAGCGCATCAGCATCAGCATCAGCATCAGCATCAGCATCAGCATCAGCATCAGCATCAGCATCAGCATCAGCATCAGCATCAGCATCAGCGCATCAGCATCAGCATCAGCATCAGCATCAGCATCAGCATCAGCATCAGCATCAGCGCATCAGCATCAGCATCAGCATCAGCATCAGCATCAGCTTCAGCATCAGCTTCAGCATCAGCATCAGCATCAGCATCAGCATCAGCACATCAGCATCAGCATCAGCATCAGCATCAGCGCATCAGCATCAGCATCAGCATCAGCATCAGCATCAGCGCATCAGCATCAGCATCAGCATCAGCATCAGCTTCAGCATCAGCTTCAGCATCAGCATCAGCATCAGCATCAGCATCAGCACATCAGCATCAGCATCAGCATCAGCATCAGCGCATCAGCATCAGCATCAGCATCAGCATCAGCGCATCAGCATCAGCATCAGCATCAGCATCAGCGCATCAGCATCAGCATCAGCATCATCATCAGCATCAGCGCATCAGCATCAGCATCAGCATCAGCGCATCAGCATCAGCATCAGCATCAGCATCAGCATCAGCGCATCAGCATCAGCATCAGCATCAGCATCAGCGCATCAGCATCAGCATCAGCATCAGCATCAGCGCATCAGCATCAGCATCAGCATCAGCATCAGCATCAGCATCAGCATCAGCATCAGCATCAGCATCAGCATCAGCATCAGCATCAGCATCAGCATCAGCGCATCAGCATCAGCATCAGCATCAGCATCAGCATCAGCATCAGCTTCAGCATCAGCATCAGCATCAGCATCAGCATCAGCGCATCAGCATCAGCATCAGCATCAGCATCAGCATCAGCGCATCAGCATCAGCATCAGCATCAGCATCAGCATCAGCATCAGCATCAGCATCAGCGCATCAGCATCAGCATCAGCATCAGCATCAGCATCAGCTTCAGCATCAGCTTCAGCATCAGCATCAGCATCAGCATCAGCATCAGCATCAGCATCAGCATCAGCATCAGCGCATCAGCATCAGCATCAGCATCAGCATCAGCATCAGCATCAGCATCAGCATCAGCATCAGCATCAGCTTCAGCATCAGCATCAGCATCAGCTTCAGCATCAGCATCAGCATCAGCATCAGCATCAGCATCAGCATCAGCATCAGCGCATCAGCATCAGCATCAGCATCAGCATCAGCATCAGCATCAGCATCAGCATCAGCGCATCAGCATCAGCATCAGCATCAGCATCAGCATCAGCATCAGCATCAGCTTCAGCATCAGCTTCAGCATCAGCATCAGCATCAGCATCAGCATCAGCATCAGCATCAGCGCATCAGCATCAGCATCAGCATCAGCATCAGCATCAGCATCAGCATCAGCTTCAGCATCAGCATCAGCATCAGCTTCAGCATCAGCATCAGCATCAGCATCAGCATCAGCATCAGCGCATCAGCATCAGCATCAGCATCAGCGCATCAGCATCAGCATCAGCATCAGCATCAGCGCATCAGCATCAGCATCAGCATCAGCGCATCAGCATCAGCATCAGCGCATCAGCATCAGCGCATCAGCATCAGCATCAGCATCAGCGCATCAGCATCAGCATCAGCGCATCAGCATCAGCATCAGCGCATCAGCATCAGCATCAGCATCAGCGCATCAGCATCAGCATCAGCGCATCAGCATCAGCATCAGCGCATCAGCATCAGCATCAGCATCAGCGCATCAGCATCAGCATCAGCGCATCAGCATCAGCATCAGCATCAGCGCATCAGCATCAGCATCAGCATCAGCGCATCAGCATCAGCATCAGCGCATCAGCATCAGCATCAGCGCATCAGCATCAGCATCAGCATCAGCGCATCAGCATCAGCATCAGCGCATCAGCATCAGCATCAGCACATCAGCATCAGCATCAGCATCAGCGCATCAGCATCAGCATCAGCGCATCAGCATCAGCATCAGCGCATCAGCATCAGCATCAGCGCATCAGCATCAGCATCAGCATCAGCGCATCAGCATCAGCATCAGCGCATCAGCATCAGCATCAGCGCATCAGCATCAGCATCAGCATCAGCGCATCAGCATCAGCATCAGCATCAGCATCAGCATCAGCATCAGCGCATCAGCATCAGCATCAGCGCATCAGCATCAGCATCAGCATCAGCGCATCAGCATCAGCATCAGCGCATCAGCATCAGCATCAGCGCATCAGCATCAGCATCAGCGCATCAGCATCAGCATCAGCATCAGCGCATCAGCATCAGCATCAGCGCATCAGCATCAGCATCAGCGCATCAGCATCAGCATCAGCATCAGCGCATCAGCATCAGCATCAGCATCAGCATCAGCGCATCAGCATCAGCATCAGCATCAGCGCATCAGCATCAGCATCAGCGCATCAGCATCAGCGCATCAGCATCAGCATCAGCATCAGCGCATCAGCATCAGCATCAGCGCATCAGCATCAGCATCAGCATCAGCGCATCAGCATCAGCATCAGCGCATCAGCATCAGCATCAGCATCAGCGCATCAGCATCAGCATCAGCGCATCAGCATCAGCATCAGCGCATCAGCATCAGCATCAGCATCAGCGCATCAGCATCAGCATCAGCGCATCAGCATCAGCATCAGCGCATCAGCATCAGCGCATCAGCATCAGCATCAGCGCATCAGCATCAGCATCAGCGCATCAGCATCAGCATCAGCATCAGCGCATCAGCATCAGCATCAGCGCATCAGCATCAGCGCATCAGCATCAGCATCAGCGCATCAGCATCAGCATCAGCGCATCAGCATCAGCATCAGCGCATCAGCATCAGCATCAGCGCATCAGCATCAGCATCAGCGCATCAGCATCAGCATCAGCGCATCAGCATCAGCATCAGCATCAGCGCATCAGCATCAGCATCAGCGCATCAGCGCATCAGCATCAGCATCAGCGCATCAGCATCAGCGCATCAGCATCAGCATCAGCGCATCAGCATCAGCATCAGCGCATCAGCATCAGCATCAGCGCATCAGCATCAGCATCAGCGCATCAGCATCAGCATCAGCATCAGCATCAGCGCATCAGCATCAGCATCAGCGCATCAGCATCAGCATCAGCGCATCAGCATCAGCATCAGCGCATCAGCATCAGCCGTGCAACATGGAGCGTCAAGATGGAGACAGACGAGCTGCCGGACTTCTGGCTGCGCTGCTCTCTTTCCTCTTTCACCCACCCTTCTGCCATGTACCCTTCCTCGTCGTCTGTGTGCCTGTGTGCCCCTACCCCCCGCATGCACCCATACCCACAACAGAGCTGCAGAGGAGTCGGACAACTGGAGTGTGGAGAGGAGGGAGAAGCGGGACATGGAGCGCCACGGGGGGTGGTGGCGGGTCAAGATGGAAACAGACGAGTTGCCGTGCTGCTTGCTGAGCTGCTTTTTCCCCTCTCACCAACTCTGCTGTTGTGATCTCATCCCTTCTTCCTCATCTGCCTGTGTGCCTGTGTGCCTGTGTGCGTGTGTTCCTGTGTGCTTGTCTCCCGGTCCCCCCACCAGGGCCGCTGAAGAGTCGGACAACTGGAGTGTGGAGAGGAGGGAGAAGAGGGACATGGAGCGCCACGGGGGGTGGTGGCGGGTCAAGATGGAAACAGACGAGCTGCCGGGCTTTTGGCTGCCGCCCCCCATCGTGTCGTTTGAGGAGAGCCTTGTGCGGCGTTTTAGGGCCTACCGCAAGCAGCTCTACTACACACTCATGTGGCGGGTAAGAATGGTCGAGTACGGTTGAGTGCGGTAGAGTGTGGTTGAGTGCGGTGCAAGCAGCTCCACTACACACGCTTTTGGCTGCCTCCCCGCACGGTGTCGTTTGAGAGAGCTTTGTGCGCCGTTTCCGGGCCTACCGCAAGCAGCTCTACTACACACTCATGTGGCAGGTAAGAACGGTCGAGTACGGTTGAGTGCGGTAGAATGCGTTTGAGTGCGGTGCCCGCAGCTTTACAACACATTCTTCTGGCTGCCGCCCCCCATCGTGTCGTTTGAGGAGAGCCTTGTGCGGCGCTTCCGGGCCTACCGCAAGCAGCTCTACTACACACTCATGTGGCGGGTAAGAGGGATGGAGGGGGGAAAGAGGGAGTTGAGAGCGGTTCTGACTGCTGCAAGCAGCTCAACTACACTTTCCTAGGAGTGTCTGCAGGTCATACCTCCCCCGCATCTCTTCCCTTAACCCCCACTTGTCCATCCACCCCCATCCCTCCATCCACCTTACGTATCCCCCCTCTCCTCTTTCCCTCTTCCCCCATCTACCAGGGGGTGGCAGCATGGCCGGCAGAGCTAGGAGTGAGCAAGGAGGCGGCGGTGGAGGTGGCGGAGTGGCTGGAGATAAAGCTGCAGATCCAGGGCCCCACAGGGGCGGGTGCAGGGCAGGCACTCCCATCACCTCTTCCTTATTCTCCCTCCTCCCATTGTTTCCCCCACCCCCCCTCCAACCCCACTTACCAGGGAGTTGCGGCATGGCCGGCGGAGCTAGGAGTGAGCAAGGAGGAGGCAGTGGAAGTAGCGGAGTGGCTGGAGATGGAGTTGCAGATCCAGGGCCCCACAGGGGCGGGTGCAGGCACTCCCATGGGCGGAGGCGGGGCCGCCTTGCTCCAAGCCACCGCTGCTGCTGGCTCTGCTGGTGGCTCTGCGGGTGCTGATGCTGCCACTGCTGCTGGTACCACCGCTGCCGCCAGCACTGGCAGCACTGGCAGCACTGGCAGCACTGGCAGCAGCAGCTGGGGCCTTTCCGGGGGGTTGACCGGGGGGCTGACGGGGGGGTTGATGGGGGCGAGGGGGGGAGCGAGGGCGCCCAAGGCGGCGAGCAAGATGGTGGTGGGGGAGCTGCGGCAGGAGCTGGCGGGGCAGGGACTTCCTACGGATGGTAACAGGGCTGTGCTTTATGCCCGTGTGCAGCGTGCGCGAAGGCTTAATAAGGCGTTGGGGAAACCGCTGTGGACGCCCCAGACCAGAGAACCCGTCATGCAGGTGAGATTGGGGTGCTGAGCGGTGCAGGTGGGTGATAGATTGATTGAGTTGTCTCAGCAAGGGCGCCAAGGCGGCGAGCAAGATGGTGGTGGGGGAGCTGAGGCAGGAGCTGGCGGGGCAGGGGCTGCCCACCGATGGGAACAGGGCTGTGCTGTATGCGCGAGTGCAGAGGGCGAGAAGGCTGAATAAGGCTCTTGGGAAGCCCCTGTGGACGCCCCAAACCCGGGAACCCGTGATGCAGGTGAGATTGGGGTGCTGAGTGGTGGAAGTGGGTGGGTGGTTCGTGGTAAGGTTACAGAGTTGACTTGCAATAGGTGTGACGAGGCGGCGAGCAAGATGGTGGTGGGGGAGTTGCGGCAGGAGCTGGCGGGGCAGGGGCTGCCCACTGATGGGAACCGTGCTGTGCTGTACACGTGCAGCGCGCGAGACGGCTTAATAAGGCTCTTGGGAAGCCGCTGTGGACGCCGCAGACCAGAGAGCCGGTCATGCAGGTGAGGCTATGTTGGTGGGTGGTGCAGTTGGGTGGTGGCGGATTTTAGGGTGAGAAAGTTGACTCAGTAATTGGCGTGACAAGGCGGCGAGCAAGATAGTGTTGGGGGAGTTGAGGCAGGAGCTGGCGGGGCAGGGGCTGCCCACTGTAACTGGACGGCACGGCAGCGTCATGGCCACAGGTGAGATAGACTTGTTCAACTCAATTCCGTCCCATTCCTACCCCTGTACCCACCTTGTCTTTCAGGCGAGTGCGAGAGTGGAGTATTTGTTGGAGCACCTGACTTTGGACGGCACAGCAGCGTCGTGGCTGCAGGTGATAGAGACATGATTGACTCAAATCGTTCCCATACTTTCCCCTGTAACCTCCTTGTTCTACAGGCAAGTGCGAGAGTGGAATATCTGTTGGAGCACCTGACCCTGGATGGCACGGCAGCATCGTGGCCCCAGGTGATCGAGATGATGAGGGAGAGCGAGCGGCGGGCGAGTGCGGAGCAGCAGCAACGCGAGCAGGACGAGCGGCAGCGGGAAGCAGACGAGAAGCAGCGGGTGGCCGACGAGCGGCAGCGCGTGGAAGACAAGCGGATCCGGGCCGCACTGTCCGGCGGGGAGGAAGAGGACGAAGAGGAGGAGGAAGAATTGGACGAGGAAGAGGAGGAAGATGAGGAAGAAGACGAGGATGACGAGGAGGAGGAGGAAGAGGAGGAGGAGGAGGAATTAGAAGTGGACGATGTGATAGATGATGAGGAGGATGAGGACGAGGAGGAGGAGGAGGGCGCGGTGGGGGAAGAGGACGAGGCGGTGGACGAGGAGGAGGTGGCGCCGGGGCAGGCGGGCGGCATGCTAGGCGGCGGGGCAGAGAGGGAGGTGGCGGTGCTGGCCATGGAGGAGGAGGGCGTGCGGGGCAAGGGCGGGCTGCTCACGTCCCAGCTGGTGGGCGGCGCTGCGGGCGGCGGCGGTGGGAGCGCAGCAGGCAGAGCCAAGGCCAAGTCGTCGGTGAGTTGAGCCGTCGGTGTTCTCTTATGTACTGGGGGGCCAAGGCCAAGTCGTCGGTGAGTTGAGAGACACTGATGCGTGCACTGATGACGAGGAGGGAGAGGTGCATGAAGAAGCAGCAGAGCCACTCAACTCCTCCCTCTCCCATAATCTTCCCTTCTCCCCTTCCCCCTCCCGCTCCCACTCCCCCCTTCTGCTCACCCCAGGACCTGTACGACGACGAGGACGAGGGGGAGGTGCATGCAGCAGGCACAAAACACGTACCAGCAGAGGCACTCAACTCCTCCCTCTCCTCTCCCCTCCCCTTCCCCCCCTCTCCTCCCCCTTCCCCGGTTCCCACCTCCATGCAGGACCTATATGACGATGAGGACGAGGGGGAGGTGCATGCAGCAGCACCGGCCATCCTGGCGGGGTCAGCAGCGCAGGCAGCAGAGGAGGACGAGGAGATGCAGGCGTTCCGCGCAGAGGAGGACCTCATACCGCTCTCCACCACTCTGGACGGCATCTTCACCTTGGAGGAGCGGTGGGGCCACTGGTGGGAGCGGGCGGACAAGGAGAGAGTGGTGCTGCCGTGGAGTGAGAGGATGGAGCTTGACAGCGCTTGGAGCATCTTTCAACTGGTGAGACGAGAGAGGATGAGGAAATTGGAGAATAGGAATGGTGTGTGTGTGTGTGATTTTTCGGGGATGTTTCTAAAGGCTACAACTGGAACTGTGCGGCCGGCCCTGTTTGCGGTTGGAAGGGGAAAGGGTGGACGAAGATCAGTGGGGCAACTGGTGGGAGCGGGCAGACAAGGAGAGAGTGGTGCAGCCGTGGAGTGAGCGCATGGAGCTTGACAGCGCTTGGAGCATCTTTCAACTGGTGAGATCAAGGGGTGAGGGGACAAGGGGATGAGATGAGAGAACGAGCGAGAAATGGGATAAGAGGATGGATCAAGGTAATGAATACGGATTCTGCTTTTTGAGAATTCTTAAAAATCACTCACAATGATGGATATGGATGCTGCTCCTCAACTTCCTCACCATTGCATCTGCCCGTGCCATGTGTTGCCTGCTCAGGTGATTGAGCTGGGCGGTGTGCCGGCCCTGGCGGACTGCTGCATGGTGCTGTGGGCAGCAGTGGAGGGCAACGACTGTCGTATCATGCACGGGGTGGTCGACAAGTCACACAAGATTGGTCACACGTTCGGCATGTGAGTGAAACATTGGGCATGCGAGCGAAACATTGGGCATGTGAAGGATAATGTCTGCTTGTGTACAGTGCTGTTGGTATGATGGTTTCAGTGCACGTTATTTTATCGGTTACAGAACCCAACTGAGCCCATGTACTGGATGAGCATATTGCATGCACTGAATGCACCTGCATGCGCTCCTCTCACCTTCCTTCTTCCTCGCTTTCCCGTTCTTCCCTTCCTTCCCGCCTGCAACTGCCGTCCTCTCCTCCCCACCTTCCTCTGCTCTGCTTTGCTTCCCGTGCAGCAACCTCTACAAGACGGTGGTCAACACGTGCCTTGGGCTCCTGGAGATTGACACAGCAGTCGCAATCTTGGAAGATATGCAGCAAGCAGGTGTCCAACCAGGTGATGACATGTGGCAGCATGTGGAAGAGGCACGCCGGGTGGCGGCTGAAAGGGTCGTCGAGGAGCAACGGCGGCGAGAGGCCGCTGAGGTGGCGGCTGCGGAAGCAGCAGCTGCTGACGTGGCGGCTGGTGCCGTGACTGGTGAAGTCCTACCATTCATTCAAGGCGAGGAGAGGGGAGCTGACGGGGGAGAAGCAGGTTTGGATAGAAGCGAAGGAGCCCCCGATGGGGGGTTATCAAGTGGAATGGACAAATGAGACTGAAAGAACACTTTGTTGTCATAGAAACTGCATATTCTTGTCGTTGCCTGTGGAATTACTCCTGTCAGTGCTGTGCCTGCACGAAGTGTGGAGCATGTGAAATGCTTTTGCTCTTTATTGGACGTTTCGTTTTTGTGAAGCAATTTCGGGAGTGTGTAATGCAGCGTAGCGAATTCTCTGCAGCGAATTGCAACCTTTCGCCCTCGACGTGTCGCTTGAACTGGTAAGATCGACGGTCACGGTCGACGCGAGGTTGCCACGCTGTCTGGTCAGGCTAAGACATTTTCGCAATGAATACGGTACATTACCTATACAGTACCAAACTGTAATACTGTTCTACACCATAGCGGGACTAACCTCGGACGTCAACATGTCCGCTGCCCTGCCCTGCCCAACCCAACTACATGTAAACCCCAACATCATTCCTCCCTCCCTTCTGCTGCTAATTTCGTCCTACTTTAGATTCGAGTTTCCTCGTCCCCATGATTTTCCACTTGATTCTTGAATCTTGATCCTCGCCATTTTTGGTTCTGCCGTTGCATTTCTCCGATTAAGGCTCACCAATTGCTAACACGTCTCTATCAACCTTCGAGTCTATTAGAGCTGAGTGCGGGTGAAAACGAGCAGCCATGTATAACGGCATAGGGCTTCAGACGGCCCGCGGGTCCGGCACCAACGGGTACGTGCAGGCGAACAAATTCGCGATTCGCCACCGGCACACGAAGTTCGAGGCGAAGGAGTTCCAGGAAGGTGCAGGAACGGGCGGAATCAGCCGCAAGGCGAACAAAGAGATTCTCGAGCATGACCGGAAGCGACAGATCGAGCTGAAGCTGCTGCTGCTGCGCGAGACGCTGGAGGAGCAGGGGTACCTGGAGGAGGAGATTGATGAGCAGATGGAGCAGGCCCGCGCGCAGCTCGAGGCCGCCATGCGCGAGGAATCGGAGGACCAGGCGCTAGATTCGCTAGGGTGAGTTAGACCCAACCACGTGTCTTTGCTGCTGTTTGATTGTGTTAGCTGGTAGTTATGTTTGGTGCTCAATGACTCGCTGATTTACGCTCGTTTCTCGACTGCTCGGACTTGCTTTAGGGTTTTTTGGCTCCTCATTGTGTTCGATCTTTGATTTGACGTGTTTTCCGGTCCTTTCGTGCCGACGGTTGGCGACGGGTGGCGACGTGTGGCCTCGTCTCGCAGGAACCAGACGCATCAGATCGTGGCGCGCAAGGAGAAGAAGATGGAGACGCTCAAGGCCGCTCTGCGCATTAACGAGTCTGCTAAAGAAGGGGACGCGTTCGACCGCGAGCTGCAGGAGCAGCGGCGGCAGGAGCGCCAGCTGGCTCGGGAAGAGGCGGAGGAGGCGCGGCGGCGGGAGGAGAAGGAGCGGGAGAAGGAGGAAAGGCGGAGGGAGAAGCAGAGGCGGAAGGAGGAGAAAGAGATGAAGAAGCGGCTAAAGAAAGAAGAGAAGGCGCGGAGGCGCGCGGAGGAGGAGGCGGCGGAGCGGGAAGAGGAGATGAGGCGGAAGGAAAAGAAGGCGCGGAAGCTCCGGGAGGCGGAGGAGGCGCGGCGGGCGGAAGAGGCGCGGGAGGCGGAGGCGCGGAGGGCGGAAGAGGAAGCTAGGCGGAGGGAGGAGGAGGCGGAGCGCAGGGAGGCGGAGAGGTTGAGAGGGGAACGGAAGCGGGAGGAAGGGCGGCGGAAGGACGAGGGCGAGACACGGAGGGGGGACGAGAGGAGGGGGAGGGGAAGAGAGGAGGAGCAGGCGGGTGAGCGGAAGAAGCAGCGGAGGGACGCGCGTGCCACTGATGCTGCGGACGTTGATGATGAGGGCGAGGACAGGTGGATGGCAGGCAAGAGCATTTCGTTCAAGAAGCGCGGGGTGGTGAGGGAGGAGAGAGGGGAATCAGAGAGCGAGGAGGAGGAGAGGGGGCGAGAGGGGGAGCGGGAGCGGGGGCGGGGGAGGAAGCCGGCGCAGGAAGAGAGGGATTCCGAAGGGCGAGGCAGCAGGCAGCAGAGGTCGTTCCGCGCCGAGCCCAAGGACCTCTCGCCCAATCGCCGCTCTGCCTCTCCCAAGCGCCGCCGCTCCCCCAGCCCCAAGCACTATCGCGCGCCCAGCCCCAGAGCCGCTTCTTCCCCCAGTCCCCAGCGCTCTCGTTCCCCCAGCCCTGAACGCGCGGCTCCCCCCACGTTCAAGCGCGCCCGCTCCCCCAGCCCCAAGCGAGGCCGTTCCCCCAGCCCTCAGCGGCGCCCAGTAAGGGCTGCTGCTGCTGCTGCTGCCCCTGCCGCTGCCGCATCCCCCACGAGCTCCTCTGGTCCCTCGTCGCCCTCGTCGTCTCCCTCCCGCTCGCCCTCCAGGTTGCCCGCGCGCTCGCCCTCTCCTCCCCGCCGCAGGCAGGTCGCTGCTGCGCCCAGGCCCCGCCACGACAGCAGGAGCGCGTCCCCCCCTCCCAGGGGTGGCGGGGGCGGGGGCAGAGGGGGAGGGGGCGGTAGGGGCAGGGGTGGGTCTCCAGAGGTGAGGGGGAGGGAGGATGGGTCCCCAGTGCGCAAGGTTGGGGGCAGGGATGTGTCTCCTTCTGCGAGGGGTGGCAAGGGGGATTCGCGGGGGAGCAGGGGCGAGGGCCGGGGGCAGGGGGGAGGGATGGTTCCCCTGAGGGCAGAGGCGGTCGGGGGGACAGGGATGGGGGGAGGAGGCGGCGGGGAAGGGATGAGAGTGAAAGTGAAGATGAGTCGCCGAGGGGGAGGCGGAAGAGGTGACTTGTCAGTTGAGTCGTGAGGGGTTATTATAATGGGAAATGACAGTTGGTCATGATTGTGAGGGCGGTGAATGGATGTGAGGGCGGTGAATGGTTGTGAGGGCCACCGGTGGGAGGGACGGCGGGCTTGAAGCAGGCATGGTCACGTTTTTTTCAGAGAGCAGGCTTTGGAAGTGTTGGTTGGTAATTGGTGATGGGAGGTGAGGAAGACTGAAAGGATGGCTACATTGTGGTGAAGGGAACAGCATTGTGAGTCCAGAGATGCCTCGCTGGCAAATGGTCTCAATTTGCTGCTTCCATTCAGCTGAGCTGTTGGCTTTTTTTGCTGCTGTGTTTGACAGTTTTTTGTGAAAAGAGCAACTTGGGAAAATGACACAATTGAATGAGCTGCCCAGTGCCAATTTCCCACAGGCTTTGGATTACCTACAATCAATTGCCACCATGTGCTACCATATGTTGTAAACCGAATGAATCCTAGCTTGGGCAGGGAAGCCAGGCAGGAGAGCCATCTGGTAGCATGTTATGTTCCTCTTGTGCTGTCAGGCTCTTCTCCCCATGGTCTCTTCAGTGGCTTTCTCAGAAGCTGCGGTTGCGCAGTGGTGCATCCATTACAAGCAGTGGTGCAATGTAGACACTGTTGGTGATCTCTGAACACTGTACAGCGCTTGCCATGGGAAGGCTTATTGTATGGATCAAGCTGCACTGCCATGCAGCTGTTATTGTCTGTCTTCATGTTCATGCGGCCACGGGAGCAACAGCAGGTAGAGCTGTTACTGACTTGAGCACGCCCTCCTCTTCCTCTCCATCCTCCCCCTCCACTGCATCACTAAAATCTTCACCATCGGCGCCGTCATTCAAGGAAAGGCTCTGATGCGGGCAGAGGGGTGGGAATAAGTGGGTCAGGAAATAAGGGATAGGACAGGAATAAGGGTTGTAACATGCATTGGTAGTTCATGACACGGGCCTGGGATTCACATGATTGCCATAACATTAGCTTTAGATGATGTCAGTAGCTTTTAGTCGAAGTTGTGAATTATGTAACAAGCAGATGTTACGACGCGCCCTCACCTTTCGCATTCTGTCGATGTTCTCCTGCTCGATCCGCCGCGCGTCCGCCACAGTCATCTCGCACCACTCGTCCGCCCATGCGTAACACTTCCTGTACGCCTCTAGGTAAAGCGCCCGGTGCGCCTGAGATCGAATGGGGGAGCGCGGGGAGAATGGGGAAGAGGGAAAGGGGAAGGAGGGAAGCCGAAAAGAGGAAGGGTAAGAGGGGGGAAGACGGAGGTTCGGGTATAGAACGAATCAATGCAGTGACAGCGGCAAGACGGTACTCACGGCGATTGCGGCGAGCTCCATCTGCCGGCCGAACCCCCAGTAGGGCGCGTCCACACGAACCACCTTGTACGACGTCATCACAGGCTCACACGTTTTCTGCACACGTGAATGAACGAATGGGACCAATGTTTAACAATGTACTAGTCAGTCTATTCTTGTTCAAGAGAATATGATAAGAAGAGCACGCGCACGCAAGCCATTAGCGGGCCATATATGTACCCTCCATGCTTACCTGCCATCCGGGGGCGAGCGGGCCGCGGTTGAGTTTGAGCAGGGTGATCTTGGAGGGGTCGGTGCGCTTCCGCGCGATGATGCGCGACCACATGTCCCTGTCGGCCGACGCGATGTCCACATGGTCCACCTTGCGCAGCTCCAAGTCAGCCTTTGACAAATTCAGCGCCTGGCGGACGATGATGAGAAGATGACGCATCAAGTGGGGGTGTGGGGTTGGGGCGGGAGCAGGGGCGGAGGAGGGGGGGTGAGAGAGGGGGCGGAGGAGAGGGGGGTGTATTTGAGGACCAAATCAAGCCAAAAATCAGAAAAAATCACCCACGCTGCCTCACACTGCCAGTGCTATTCTGCTCCTCATCCACCACCTAGTGATTTGAGGCTTGTGCATTCCAGACCTGTTCGCCTATTCCTGACGAGTAACATCCTGAACCCGGGACGTGCAACACTCACATTCTCTGTGTCGCCTCGGTCAACGAGGTGATACGTGTCAGCGATTATCTTGAAGTTGGTGAAATACGGGCACTGTAATGGGCGGGGGAAAAGGTGGAAAAGGGGGCGCCAGGAGATATGGGGAATGGATCAGGGAACACCTATGCACAAGGTAAGAGAAGCGAAAAAAAAAAAAAAAAGTTGTTGTCACCCACGCCCACGGTACATTGCAAATGCCGCTTCGGTTTCTCAACATCCCTCCCCTCCTCTTCCCTATCCCCACTTCCCCCTTCCCCGTTTTCCCTCTCGTCCCTTCCCCCGTAAGCTTACGCGGAGCTCCATGCGGCTGCGCGGGTACGCATTCCAGTTCTTCTCCTCGAGCCGCAGCGCCTTCCGCGGCGCGAGCGCGCGGTTCCACGCGGGCGCGCGGCCCTGAAAGTGGTGCACAACGTGCGAGTAATGCCCCTCGCCTAAGACGTCGTCTTTAAACGGCGCGCTAGCGATCACCTCGACGCCCTCTCGCCCCTTGGTGTTCTCCATCTGCATGCGCGACCGCATGTATGTGTGCCCCACGTGGTACTGCGACGTTGCCGGGCAATACACGAGGAGGATGTTAGGGGAGAAGTGAGGTGATAAGCAAAGGAGGTGAGAGAAGAGGTATTGCATGCGCGACGGCATGTGGGCGGCGGCCCACGTGAGGTGTTGTGCTTGGTCGGTTGGAAGGCGAGGCGTGACGGAGGGCGGCGGGTTGGAAGAAAGGAAGGATGCGCGTACCTCGTCGAGGGAAAACGGCATTGTGATGAGGCTGTAGGTGGACCACGCGCGACGGACGACGAGAGGCGGCGACGCGACGAGAGGCAAGCGACGAGCGCGGAGAGCCGTCGATATCGTCACAGTGACATCGCGGCGAGTGCAAACCCCGCAGACCGCGCAAAACAAGAAACACGCAAGGGGAACAAGTTAGAGAAGGCCATCCTGCATCCGGAAACGAGAAAAAGTGTCCGGAATGCATCTTACAATTCCATAATCTGCACCATTCTGACTTGCAGCTGCCGACGGGCACGGAGGTGATACGTGACGGGGCTGAGCCGAGCTTGAAGCAAGGTCGTTGGGTGAGATCTGCGAGGATTCCCTGTCAAGTCGACACCTCCTTTTCGATACCCTTTGCAGCAGATACTAGGTATTCGAAAGAGCGCGCTCGAGGAGCTGAAGGTGTGTTGCTCGTCTGCTGCCGTTGTCGAAGGTCGCTGGGCTGGGTGACGGAAGCGGCTTGGTCGGGTTGTTGTAAACGACCCAATAGATTGCTTGGTTTTGGGATTGGGAAGCTTGTAACAAGATTCTTGCTAGCGGATGAAGGGCACGAGGACAAGCAAGAATGGGTCTGGTGAGGGGGGAATTAGAGAGCAGATATTTGAGCGGACAGCAAAGGCGGGGATTCAGGTGGCAGCCAGGGTTCTCGTTATCAGACCAATTTGGTCTGATGGTCTGAGTTTAAGACTTGTTTTTTTGTATTCATCTGCTTCCTAAGAATTTGTGTTTGTTCTCATCTGATCAGTAAGATTAGCGTTTTAGGTTCGTATGATTTTTCCAGACGTGTAGAACTCTTAATCTGAATTCACAAATATCGAGTTCGGTTTCGTCTGAAACCGACATCTTGACCCACTAGGCCATATGCCCAGTGGACCAGAGGATAGGACCACCACAGGTACAGCCATTTGCTGCCCTGTAACAGCACGCGCATTCATTACGCGTGTCTTATGCAGCCCCGCCGAAAGCGGCGATGAGGTAGATACGTGGCATGTGGCCGTTTGTTCCACTCCCTCCCTCGCCCTGTCAGAGGTCCACTGGTGATCCCCGATTGATCATAGGGAAGGGTTACAGGCATGTTGGCCTGGGGGGTTATGGGCGCACTCACCCGCTACACAAACAAGCCATTTTATCCCAATGGTTAGTGGTTGGGATTCTGACATGGTATCAGAGCGAAGGTCTCGGGTTCGAATCCCGGTGTGTGCACTTCGGGCATCCTAGTGCGGGGGGGTGTCAGAGGTCCACTGGTGATCCCCGATTGATCATAGAGAAGGGTTACAGGCATGTTGGCCTGGGGGGTTATGGGCGCACTCACCCGCTACACAAACAAGCCATTTTATCCCAATGGTTAGTGGTTGGGATTCTGACACGCCCCCACACGCTCGTACCCCAACCTCGGATTACAGTAGGTTGACTTTTAACATGATTTTTTTTTCGTCTTAGTTATCAGACTAGAAAAAATATTCCAGCTTATAATGCAGACTACGGAAGTTTCGTCGTCCGAGCACAAGACGGGGGAAATTTTTTTCAGGGTACTGTCAGACAGCCCCAAAACCTAGCGAGAGCCCTGGTGGCAGCTGTGGTGCGGAAACGGCAAACCGAAAGACCACTGCGCAAAAGCAGATGGTGGTGATGGTGCAAAGGCATGCGCTTCGACTGTTGGATTTACAAAATCGCACGGCAGGCCTTTGCGAGGGATTCGCGAATTGGCGTGCCCGTAAGAAATCCTTGTTACCGACAAGTAATGTTCGCGCTAAATGCGACGACGCTTGGAGTGTGGTCGGGCGACCTCTCGGCGATTGTCGTAATTGGGTTACGACGCGCCGAAATCCTGGCTGTAATCGCAATCAGCGGATGATGCTCATGAACAGGAATGCTCGGACGTTATGTTGCTGTGCAGACAGGGAACAATGAATTCACCAGTAATATCAGCTCCGTTAACGCATCAGCCTCAGAAGTGGGGTTGTTGGGTCGAAACAGTGCTATACATCAACAAAGCATGCCAACAAAATCATCCTCAAATGGCACATTCATCCCATTTTCTCGTGCTGAATACAAGGGTGGGGCTATTCTACGAGACAATAAAAAGAATTTTATAAATGCGTTTATACATAAAACAAATGTGCGGTGTTCTCCTAGTCAAGGTAGTTTTGTAAGCTCACATTGATGGTGCATCCTGTACTGAGCTCTGCCATACTGTCACCCACCTTAGTTTCCTACTCAGTGTTGCACTGTTAAAAGCCTAAGTTGACTTAGGACTTGGGTTGAGGGTAGAACGAGAGTTATGAGAGGAAGGGATCGAGAGATTTGCCAAAAGAGGATGTTCACTATAGAGCGAGCAGTACAAATAGGTAAGAATCAAGAAAGGTTCACCACCAATCAGAAAGTTATATGACTACAGTATTCTACACTACAGGCAGTTATAGAACAATATATAGAAATATATAT